GGCACGTAACAGGTGAGCCCACTGCAGTCTGCAAAGCGTGGAGAGCCAGGGCAGACAACTGCTCCGCTGAGAGACCTGCCAGGCGGCTCTCCGCCCTAACAGCCAGCAGGTGCTCCAGAGGAGCACGCATGAAATCAGCAGCGAGAAGCCACCGCTGGGACCGAGTCCCCAAAGCCCGAGAGCCTCCAACAGACGAATCTCCAGGCGCATGTGTGAACCAGATGTCCGGAGTTCATGCGTCCATTTCTCCAGATCAACCTCTCAAGCTGCTGCCACGTCCATCGCTGCACCACTGCATCCATGAAGCCCAGTGACCCAGCAGGAATCCTGCCAAGGAAGTCAGTTCAGGCCCGTGCACAGGTGCGCTGAGGTGACATCACTAGTGCATCAGGACCACAGCCGGTGTGCAGGGCATCCATGAGGGGCACAGCTGTCTGGGACGGACCCACGAGGCACATGGTACTGTTCTGTGAGGGACCGAGCTGGTGTGTAAGCATGACCAAGTGGAGGAAGGCAGGAAATAGAAGCGTGGGGACATGTGTGGGCATGGTCAGCAGGGTAGCTGGGACAGGGACAGCTAGACAAACCAGCACCTGGGGGGCAGTGGCTTGCCCGAGGGGTGAGGGGGCAGGAAGGTGGCCCAGCATCCCCCTTCCCGCCCCCCTGCCCCGTGAAGGTTCTGGAAGAGTGGGCTGTGCAGAAAGCTCTTTCCAGGCCACAGGAGCAAACTGCTCAAGGACACAGTGCCATCTGCAATGGGCTGGTTGTGCATACTTCCCTGAGGATGGGGGGGGGGCCTGGGCAGGTTGTTTGTATTTTCCTCATCTCACCGGTGCTGGGTTCAATTCCTCATTGAGTGGGACATCCCGGTGGGTTTGTCTGTTCTCAGTTTCAAAAGCTTTCCAGGATTCTACCTCGGGAGCCAGAAGGCCCTGCACCCCTAACTGCCCATCCCTGTCCTGGCCTCTCTAGCTTGGGAGCCAGCAACCATTTCCTCTACTGCTTTCCAAGCTCCCTGGTCTTGGGCTCTCCAGCCACTCCCAGGCAGGGCCAAGTGTCTGAGTCACCTTGGTACTCCTTCCTTTCATTGGTGACCCGGTCTCAGCTGGGGTCCGGTTGGGGGCTTAGGATGCTGAAGGCTCCTGGCTACACACATGCACCTTGCTGGGCTGTCTGCAGGGATGAGTCAGCGTCTCCTCCCTAGGCGATTCTGAGCTCGGCTCTCCCTGCTGCACTGCGCTGTGCACTCTCACCCCAACATCCTCCTGCACCTGTCTCCTCCCTTCAGCTCCCCACTAGGAGGCCCCAAACCCACTCAGCACTGTTCTCAGGAACATGGCCTGGGACTGGCCCACAAAGGCCTTCAGGGTTGCATGCATACGTGGTGTTCCAGGGAGGAGCATGGTGCTTGGCCTGAGGGTCATCCTGCACCTGGAACAAGGCTGAGCCAGTCAGCACTGGGCAGTCTGTCTCATGAGCCCTTCCCTAGTCCTTATTCCATGGAGTTGAACCAGAGAGGGCCCCCAGGGCCACCACTGTTGCTTCAGGTGGCACAGTTACATTTCCATGGCCAGAATGCCCCCTTGGGAGCCTGTGAGGCACTGCCTCCCCAGCCGGAGTCTAGGGTTTACCATGTGCACCTGCAATATGTCAGCAAGGTGACTGCTTGCCAGGGGACTGCCATCTTCCTTGCTTCTCCCTGTCACTACACAGCCTGCAGTCCTCACTGGGGGCCCAAGTAGTCCTGGGAGGTCCCAGGCCAGGGATTGCAGCTGTGTCCCCAACCCTTTGTGATCTCTGCTTCTGCCTGCAATTCCAGCGGCAAAGACTGTCCCCACAGTGGATGCTCAGGACCATGTCCCACCCAGAGCCCAGATGCCTCGGGGAGCCTTTCTGGTGCTGGCTGTGGCTGACAGGAAGCTGGCTGATGCTTCACTCCCGCTGCAACAAAGATGCGAACACTGCTGTCTCCCAGGCAAGGTGGCTGTAGTGTTAGATTTGGAGGTTATGTCAATGAGAGGCTGAACTTAGCTGTGTGATTATAGAGGTCTCTGGGTCTCCACTGAGGCAGGGCAGGTGTCGGATGCCAGGTTTGGGCCTCGGCTGCAGCATCCTGTCCTCTGGGAGGGATGTGGGCTGACCACTCCCAGGAAGCCCTGAGCTGCTCGGCTTGATGAGGTCAGGCACTCTGCTGGCTCTGGGCATACAGGAAAGAGAGCAGAACCTGAGCCAGCAGAGCCTGCCAGCTGCCCCTGTGCCCTTGCAAGCCCAGGGTGTGCTGTGGACTGCTGGGAGGAGGCCCCCTCCCCCAACTTGCTGAGAAACCATGCTTCCAGAGCGGTCATGCTGCTCAGGGTTTGCCTGACCCCCACGTCCACAGCCTCCCCCAGCCCAGGCGGCCAATTGTGGAGAGTGATGTCAATGCCTAGCGCAGGGCCAGAGCTCTGCCAGCAGCTTCATGCGCTGTGGCACGCACACTCTGGGGCGGCCGCTTCCATCTGATTCCCAGGCCAGAGCCTTCATGGTGGCTGACCTGTGTGCTGTGTATCCCCAGAGGCCCCTAGTAGGGACGGGGTGCATTCAGGGGGCCAGCAACAGCGCTGCCCATGGCCACTTGTCCACCCCTCACTCTGAGGCCCTTCCTTGACTGCCTCCTGCTCCTCCCCCCAGGCCTGGGCTTGGCACCCTGGTTGGGCATCCTGCCAGCAGTGCTGTCTTCCTCCTGCTCAGCACCCGGTGCCATCTGGAGTCTGTCCAGGAACTCTGTGCAGCCTCGCAGGGAAGCCCTGGGCATCTGCATCGAGCCCCTGGCACAGCAGGTCCTCGTGTAGATGATCAGAGGCTGGCTGGCAGAGCTGAGTTCATGATGGACTTTGGTCATAAGACTGAGCTGTACCCAGGGCCCAGGGCGCGTGCTGGGTCTCTCCTCCTTCCTCTCCCCCTCCCCAACTGCCCTTGCCTAGTAGCAGTGAGTGATGGCCCAGCCAGTATGGCAGTGTCTGGGACAGTACTACGTGGGGGACGTTTGACTTGGGGCCCTCACAGCTCCCCCAGCATCCCTCCTCCTGCTGGAACCCTGAGGGCTGTCTCCTGAATCCTGCTACTTGGGCTCCCACAGCCCGAGCCATCTTCTGTGCTTCCCTCCCTCCCCGGGCATGGTGCCACAAATCTCCCCCCCCCTCAGCAACGCCCAGCAGTGCCTGCCTCCTGGTCCTGTCTGTTTCCTGTTCTTAGAGTTGGCTGTCAGTCACACCAGGCCAACTCCTGTCCATGTGACAGCACATCCATAGTATTGGGCAGCATCCCCAGGCCTGGAGCTTCCAACTGGGGTAAGATGTGGCTGATAGTGTTCCCCAACACAGATGCTACTGGACACCAGTGGAAGTGACCACGGCAACAGCAAGAGCCATGCCCCATAGGACAGGGGGCGTGGACATGGAGGTTGAGGAGGTGTTCTACAGCAGAGCCTGGAAGAGCCCAGGAGGTTTGGGAAGTGCAGGCAGAGACAGTTTACTCTGTCTGCAGTGGGGGGCATGCTGGGCTTCACAGCTCAGTGGCAGCCTGCCAACATGGCTGCAGGATTTGGGGTGCAGAGTGCTGGTTCACCCGTTGGGATGTGGACCTCACGTGGGTGCTCCAGGGCCAGGTGCTGGGCTGAGGCATGAGCTGGCAACAAGCTTCTGTTGCTGGGTGATTGGAAGAAGCTGCACCCATCAGGAGACACCCAAGGGCCTTTGCTCCAGACACCACACTTTCTCCTGCCTGACAAGGGGAAGTGGGTTTCTACACACGGAGCCTTGGGGTGCTGCCTCTGTTGCCTGTGTCGCCAGTGATGGAGAGCTGACAGCCATGGGTGTGTACTGATTCAGTAAGTGAATCCCTCTTGCCTGTGCGGGAGGAGGCCCCAAGCAGAGGCAGGAGTGACACAGAGCTCCGATCTGATTCATGTTTATTTGTGGCACGAGGGGCAAACCCTGGACAGCTGTGACTCAGAGTATTGGCTGGCGGCTTTGGGCTCCAGAGGCAGTCCAGACGTTATGCCTGTACCCAGGTGGCAGTGAAAGCCCCATCTCACCCATGTGTTTGCAGAATGCTGAGTTCTGCTATTGCAGGTGTGCTCCATGATCTGTGTGCATCTCTCCCATCTATCAGACCCTGAGTGATGCAGACAACATGGCTGTAGAAGCTAAACATCCCCAGAACCCTGGGTAGCCGGGCAGTGGGTGCCATGAACGGATCTCTAGGGTGGCACCCAACTGTGGAAAAGGTGCTAACATGGACTCAGGCCTGCTCCAGCCATGGCCAGCAGGCAGCAGCACCCTGTGGCTCAGCAGGGTTTAGAGGCTCCGTGCATGGCTCCACTGAGGGGAGCGCCACACCTCACAGCCTGCCACCATGGGAGTGGCCACCAACGGAAAGTGGGGATGCCTGCCACGTGGCTGCTTGACTGTAAGTCCGGGTCATCAAGTTATGGCCCTTCACCAGGCATCACACCCTGGTATCTGAGGACTGAGAGCTGGCAGTTCTTCCCCAGGGTGGTGGCCATGGAAAGAGCTTCCCAAATCTCGTGCCGCAGGAGCAGGCTGCACTCGTTGACAGCCGCACGGAGGGCATGGAGGTGGAAGACAGGTCTGTGGCTAGGTGGAGGGAGCATGGGTGGCACTGTGAGCCTAAGGCCTGCAGCGTCTCACTCTGTCCTTTGACGTAGCTGGGCACAAGAGCTGGCTCCTGCAGCACATGCCCAGCAGCCTGGGACAAGGACCATACTTGGCAACGTGAATATTCAGAGGCAAGGCACACTTCCTTGGCACACAGGCTGCACAGCAGCCCCTCCCCTCTGTGGAATCATAGTGCAGCATCAGACTGAGAGTCAGCTGTCTGTGCTTTGGCCCGAAGACAAGGAAGCGACACTGTATCAGGGTGCTCATCACCCCGCGGAACCTGCGAGTGATGATGTGTCTGGCCGATGGGCTTCTGCAACGCTCCGGACTCTCAGCAACTCACACCAGCAGGGGCACCTGCCAGGAGACAGGAATATGCAAAATATTTTGTATGTGCTCAGGGTAAAATACAGGTACCCCATCTTGCTGCTGTGATGTGGCTGTGCTCCCTGCACGCAATGAGTCCTCACAGGGAGTGCTCACTGCACAGTCTAGTCCTCCTCACAGGACTTGGTGATGTGGCAGAGTCTTCCTGGGTGCAAACTGATTCCTGTGCGAGCCAATTCCTGTGCACTAAGGCTGAGTGATTGCATCTTTGAGCTTCATTCACCATATATACATCCTGAGGACACTCCCTGATGTGCACCTCAACACAAAAGCTTTGGCTCTCAGAAAAGAAAACCTTGCTCGGTTTCTTTCACCCACATCATTTCCCAAACCCACCAGCAACAGGCAATGATGGGGTCATTCTATGGCCAGGGTCCCTATAGACTCGAAGCAGATCTCAAAAGCCACTGGGTCCATGTGTTACTGAGACTCAGAAATGCTGCTGCATGAGTCAATAATTCCATTGTCTCTGAGCAGTGGTGATGGATGTGTGGATCAGCAGCAGTACTCACAGAGAAACTGGGAGCATAGGAAAGCGCAGGCTCTAAGGGACTCATATAGTGTGAGTGGATGGATGAGTGAGTGGGTGGGCAGATGGATGGGTGGGTGGATGGATGGATGGGTGGGTGGACGGACGGGTGGGTGGATGGATGGATAGGTGGGTGGGTGGACGGATGGATGGATGGGTGGGTGGATGAATGGATGGATGGATGCAATGAATAGATGGATAATGATATGGATGGATGATGAATGGATAATGGATGAATGGGTGGGTAGGTGGATGGGTAGACAGCACCATAGACAAATGCACATGAAGACAAGAGTTAGGTGGGAGGAAGAGAGGCAGCAGGTGGGAGAGGTGGAGGGAGGTAGTGGTGTCCTGAGGGCTAAGGGACTCATGCAGGATTCTCCCCAGCCTGCGTGGGCCAACCACAGGTTAGGGTGGGAATGCCTTGATGTGGAGTAGAATTTGGGCCCCAGCTCTGAGCAGAGTGGACCTGGTGTGCAAGAAGTGGCTTCCCCTTTTTGAATGGCAGCCTAAATTTACCCCCTACCACCTGTAAGTGTGAGGGATGAGGACTACAGTGCTCTGCCACCCCACTAATGACTCCACTCGTCTCACCCCCACACACTCACCTTCTTCAACCTAGCAGCTCCGGTGCCAGAACGAATGGCAGCCATCAGGGCCTGCCTGGCATCCACTGGGCTGTCGGAGGTGCCTGTGTGGGGTCTGGAGGGTGCTCCTGACCCCGGCGGGGCAGGGGCGAGCAGGACTGGCGGGGGTGGAGGAGCTTCTGGGCCTGGTGTGGAGCGTGCTGCATCCCGGAAGCCCTGGAGCTCCTCAGCGGCCGAGGATGACACCTGGTGGGTCGAGGTCACATGACTGAAATCCTGAGGTCTTGGGAGTGACAGCCTCACAGTGCAAACTGGGGCTTGTGTCTGACCCAGAGTGCCCCTCCCCAGACTGTGCTTGTCCGAACAGCCTCCAGTGGAGAGAGGAGCCCTCTGTCACAGCAGCCGGGTCCAGGGTTCCCACAGCGTGGGCAGCATGCAGCCAGCCCTGTCTCGGTACCAGGACAGTTCGTTTGCAGCAAGCCCAACCCAGGATGGTTTGTTTCCCTGGTGGCTGGGTCACCTGCCCTCAGTCCTGCCAGCAACCGAGCCACGGCTGAAGGGACCAGGATCTGGCAGCTGTGTCCCACCTGGGGACCCTGACGTCAAGCCTTGTCCTGGTGTAGAAGCAGGGTCTGCCCCAGTGACGCTGACCCTGAGACCATCAGCATCTGGACCTGGTACCTGCAGCATGACACACTGTCCTCCCCTGATCAGGTCTGCTGGGGCTGGGACCCCCACATGAGCCCAGAAACTGGGAAAGTGCTGCTCCTGGGAACAGCACGGAGCTGTCTCCATGCTGCGCTGAGTGTTCTGGGGCCAACCCCGTGTGGGAGGTGCTCCAGCCTCCTGGAATGGTGCCATCCCCAATGCCAGAGCTCCTGTGGGCAGGACACGTAATTGAGCACGGGCCCAGACCCTTGTGACGACGAGGCCCCTCCTCACCTTCCTCAGGCTGTGGGTACCACTGTGCCCACGGATGGCTGCCAGCAGCGCTGACCGCTCGCTCTCCGCCTCTGTGTAGGATGGCTTCTTGGGGCCTCGCTCCAAGCCAAGCTCTGCAGTCTAGAACATTCAATGTCAGCACAGTCCTTGGTGAGGGTGTGAGGGCTGGGAGGGCAGTGGAACCCTGCTGTCTACATGAGCACAGGCATGGCCCTGGACCACTAGCTCAGGGGTCAGCACGGCTCAAGGGCTCTAGAACACCTGTAGAAGGTAGCTCCCCATGGGCTGCTGCCAGGACCTGGAGCACATGCAAGCTGGAACACTCGGCATGCATCTGATAGACGTTTCCCACGTGATGAGGCTCCCAGGACAAGGCTGTGATGTAAATGAAGGGGCCACTGTGCTGGACTCTAAGGCTATGCACTTAGGGTCGTACCTACGACAGCCTCTCTGTCCCTCCTGTCACTAGCCCCAGCCCCCTGCAGCGGAGCTGTGCATGCCAGACCTCCTTGGGAATCTTGCACTGTGTCCTTGGCCTTATGTTGGCTCCTCACTTGCTAGACAGAGGAAATGGTTGCTGCTGAGGGAGTTTGGCTTTGGGCCTTAATGCTGACATGCCTGGGCTGCACGGCAAGCACCCAGGGACAGGGAGGGGGCCAGGGTCTTGACAGGCCTGCTGATAACCAACTGTGGGTAGACACACTTGGGCCCAGGAACCCAGGGATGCCCGGCCCTCTCCCGGCCTGCACAGTGGCCCCTTGGGGCTTGAGGGCTGTGGACATGATGAAAACACCCTGACTCCAGTCTCTTTGGCATTCCTGCTCGGTTGTTCTGGACAGAGGAGCTGCCTGGATTGCAGGCAAAACATCCCGTGTGCTCTGCTTCCCTGCTCCACCCCACCCCGTCCACCTGTCCAAGTCCCCCCCATGGGCTGGCTCACCTTGCGCAGCTTCTGTGTACCCCCTGCAGAGTGGATGGCCTCCATCAGCGCGCTGTGCAGGGACGTGTCCTCGGGGGCTGGCCGCTGCACCACAGGTCGGAACTTCTTCTTCGGCCCAAAGATGCTGAGGGGTGTGACCCCATCTGTCTCGCTCGCCCCTGAGGGTAAGGGACCCGGTGCTCCCTCCCTTTCTGGGGTGCTGCCTAGGGCACAGGCAGAGCCGTTCAGCAGCACCGAGCGGGAGCCAGAGGAGGTCTGGGCAGCTGTCAGAGGTGAGGGCAGAGGGCATGTGGGGACAGTCGCTGCGCTGGGCTTCCAGCTGCCTGTACTGGGCCTCCTGGTGGAGTTCTGCTCCACAAAAGCATGGACCCCCTGAGATCCTCTGCTTGGAGGGACCCTGGAGGGGCCATTGCAGGGAGACAGCTTCCTCTGTGGGCTGCAGGTATCCCTATGGGGAGGGGTTCCCACGGCCGATCCCTGCATGCTGCCACCTTCACATTCCCAGGTCCCTGCAGATGAGCTGGGAGTGGGGAGTGGCGGGGTGGCCGGCTTCGGTACTTGGCCTTCTCGGCCCTTCTGGGAAAGGCTGTGCAGCTTCCCAGAAGGGATGGGGGCCTTGGGAGGCCCTATTCGTCTGGTAATGGCATTGGCCACATACTGGCTGGATGTTCTCCTCTGGGGCCGGAGGAAAGTGACCTCCGTACCACCAGCGGCTGGCTCCTTTGTGTGACAAGTGACAGTGGACAGCAGCCGGCCCTGCCCTTCCTCCAGGGTCACCCCTGCTTCCTGGGTGGTAGAGTGTGGCCGTGGTGCTGGCACTGCTGTGGGCATGGGCATTGCTCTCGGCTGATGGTCTGGTTGCTGTTGAGCTGGCCAGGCAGAAGCAAGGGTTGTCAGTGGTCTCGTGGCTGGGTCCAAGGGCTTCTCAGCAGAGCTGGTTCTCCAGAATTCCCTGATTCTCTCCATGGGCTGGGGATCTGTGTCCAGGGTGGTGGGGACTGATGGGAAGGTCCTGCTCATGTTGGTGTGGGGATTCACCAGGTCCCCGAGCTCATTGATCAAGATGGCGCCCGTGGACAAGGAGCCGGCTCTGTCATACTGCCTTGTCTCTGACTTGGAGGGCACAATCTTGTAGGTGGTGAGGCCAGACCGAGGGCCAGAGCTTCCTCCCAGGGTGCGGCCTCGCTGGTGCCAGGCCAGTGTGGCTGAGACAGCACTGCCAGCCCCACTGTCCATCCTGCCCAGCGGCTCTGTACCTGTGCTTTCAGCAGCATGTGCCTTGTTGCCTTGGGCAGCACCATGCACCACTCTTTTTTCCTTCATGCTGGGGGCGTCTGTACAGAGCCTGGATGCAAGAGCTGCTGGTGCGAGCCCGACATCAGCCCGGCGCCAGTCTCCACAAGCATCCCGTGAGGCCAATGGGACATCCTTTCGTGCACTGTGGGAAGGAGCCTGTGGGCCAGGTTCTTCTTCACCTGCTCTGGGGCGGGGTTGGCTGTGCCCAGCCTGGAAAGGGGACAGCCGCACTCCCCTGCCCGTGGCATCTTCCGAACCAAAGGAGCCGGCATTGTTGTTTGTGTTGCACAACACGCCCAGGTCCACAGGATCGTCTGGCACCTCCCCTATGAAGGTCACAGGGATTGTGTCCACATCACCATTGGAGACCAGCATCTCCCGCACATAGTGAGGGGACACACTGTTGCTGGAGCTGGTCAGCGAGCTGCTGTCTGTCCCGTAGCTCTCCTCCATCTCTGCCAGAAAGGAGGAGAAAACAGTCAGTACCTGGCCAATTAGCACCCACTCTGGTCACTGCAGGGATGGAGCTGGGACCCTGGCTCCAGGGCCTCCCTTTTTTTGTTGTTTAAGATTTATTTGTTTTTTCTTGGAAAGTCAGATTTACAGAGAGAAGGAGAGACAGATTTTCCACGTGGGGTTCACTTCCCAAGTGGCTGCAATGGTCAGAGCTGAGCTGTCCAGAACCAGGAGCTTATTTCGGGTCTCCCATGTGGGTGCAGGGTCCCAAGGCCTTGGGCCATCCTCGACTGCTCCCCCAGGCCACAAATAGGGAGCTAGCAGGGAAGTGGAGCAGCCAGGACATGAACCAGCACCCATATGGGATCCTGACACATTAAGGAGAGGACTTTAGCCACTAGACCCCATGCCAGGTCCCCCGGGGCTACTTCTAAAGCACTCGCACATGCTAAGTAACACACAGCCTTGTGAGACCTATATGACCTGCAGCCAGAACCACAACTTTCACAAAGCAGCACAGGCCCTACTCGCAGACAGATGCTGCAGGCCAATGGACTGACACACTGGGCCAGTACCCGTGACACAGGCCATGGATTGCTACGTCGTCTGCATACAGGAAGAGAGTGGAATCCGAACTGGGCCTACAAGGCAGCCTACTCTGTGCTCACTTCTGAGTGAGCCAGGGGACCTCCTCAGGTGGGCCCTGACCTTGCACAGCTCCAAGGGATGCAGTGGCCAGTGGGGAGGGGCTGCTGGACATGGCACAGCTGGGCCTTGCCACCCTGATAGTCACGGTGCTAAGCAGGGCTTTGTATGCAGTTTTCCTTTTGCCTATGTATCTCTGAGACACACAGGCAGGGCTCCTGCAACAGGTGCTCTGAGCGGGGCTGAGGCCTTGCCCTCCTAGGCTGTGTCAGGACCAACTCAAAGAGCAGCCTGGGCCCTGCCATGGTCAAAAGGCCAGGTGGCTCCTAGCTGCTCCACATCCAATCCATCTCCCTCTCTGCTCATGTGCCCAAGTCCTTGGGCCCTGGCACCCACATGGAGATCACATGGGAGCTCTGTGAGTAGCCTCTGGCTTTAGCCTGGTCCAGCCCGGGAGGTTGGGGATTGAACCAGCGGCTGAAAGAGCCCTGGGACTCTGTAACTCTGCCACTCAAGTACGTAAAGCTAAATCTTGAAAAAAGACATGCAGTTCACTCTGTGCCACTCCGCATGTCCCTCTTCATTCGGGTTGTGGACCTTTCTGTGCAAACACATGACATGCAGAGCATGTGGCTCTGGGGGGTCGCTGAGGCCGCTCAGAGTCACCAACTGGGAACCCTGTCTTGAGAGTTCCACCCTTGTTCCTAGCTCCCATGTTGTCCCCTGAAGACCCTCCACCCCCAACCCTGGGCTCAGAAGGGACGCTGCACTCCTGTGCCCATGAGGATGGCAACGCTAACCTTCCAGGTCTCCCTTGAACTCTGGCAGCGTTCTCTGGAACTGTGTGGTAAGGAAGAAGTTGCCGTTGCCTGTGGCTGTGTCCGCTCTTCCAGTTCTAGGGGAGACAGGAGAAAGGCATTGCTTCTTACCATTCTTACTGCACTCTTGCCACCCTCAGAACCACCGCAGCTGAGCTGTGCATGCGTGTATCTGTGTGCATTGTGCACATGCATGCATGCGCAAGTAGGATCTGATGTACACATCATGGGTGTGTGTGCACATGTATTGGATGTGGTCCTGTGAGTAGTGTGGTGTGTGCAAGTAGGATATGATGTACAAGGCTTAGTCTGTGGTGCCTGGAGAGTGGTAGATGAGGTGTATGTGTGTGTTGTGTGCATGCCATGGTGTGTGGGTGTAGACATGTGCTGGATGTAGGTATGTATGATTTACAGTGCCTGTGCACACGTGTGCTCGATGTGGTCTGTCTGTACATGTATTAGACGTAAATACGTATGTGATGCTTGGCATACCCTGCCCACTGCTGTGTGCCCTGCTGTGCCAGGCCCCAGTTGGAAACCTCGCAGAGCCACCAACACACCTGCGTGGTCACCCAGATGAGCTGCACCAGCAGCTGGGGAGGCACTTGCAGCCCCAAGCTGGTGGCCAAGCAGAAGTGTGCAGCTCCCCACAGCGCCTGGCATCCAGGAGAAAGAAGCCAGGCAGCCTGCCCAGGGCCCAGATCTGGCCTGACTTGCGTCATGGCAACAATAGCATCCAGGAGATCACCGCTGCCAGAACAATCTGAGAGCTGTTCTCGCAGGGGCTGCTGAGCGCGCTCTCCCATGGTGCGGCAGCCACAGAGCCACGTCCACGGCTGTGTGTCTGCTGTGCAGGCTGTTAACACCCGCCAACTCTCTCTCCTGCCAACTGTTAACACCAAGGACCCATTTCTATCACCTCTAATCACACCCAGACAGTGATGCCCGGAACACAGCCCACACAGCCCACCCTTGCACAGCAAAGTCCTCATTCCAATTAATGAGGTCCTGCCGAGAGCCAGGAAGTGGCTTCCAGGGCAGCCTTGGCTAATGTCCTGTGACAGGACAGACAAAGGGGCTGGCTGGAGCTGTGTGCATGCAGATCAATGAGCAGGGACCACAGAGGTGCACGCGGCCACTCCTGCCGGGCCTCTAATTACCAAATGCACTCTGCTCAAGTTGTGTTCCTTCTTGCACAGGAGGGCTGCGAGAAATCCACAGTCAGGTGTTTGCATTCTACCACGGGATGAAATGCTACGTCAAGAAGCTGGGAAGTGTTGTGTAGTAGCACTGGACTGTAAAGGGGCTTTTCTCGGAGGCTTGTGCCCAGTCTGGGGGGCAGAGCACTGCCAGGCCAACTGATCCATGCACTCCGACCCCAGAAAGGGCCATTTGTCGAAGCAGGCATGAATGCATCTGTCTCACAGCGTGGGGAAGGGATTCATAAAATGAGAACTGAAGAGAACGATACCAGCGATGTCATCTGTGTGAAAACTAGCCAAAAACATCACCACAACATGAGGAGCCAGAGGGACTCTGAGACACCCACCTGGCAGCTGCTGGGGTTCCCTGGAAAGCAGTGTGGCAATGCTCACCGAGACTCAGAGCAGCCGAGCTGTGCTGTCTTCCTGGGGTTTGCTGTGAGGAAGTGGTGCTGCAGATGCTAAGGCCCACGAATGGCCAAGCTTGTGGCATTCAGGGGGAGGCCTTTCACAGTCTGGCTGTACCATGTGGAATATAGGGCAGGGCCGTGGGGATGCCACATGGGAGGAATCCAGATGTGCAGCTGTCACTGGGCAAGGGGGGGCCCATGGCCAAGGTCAAGGCAGGAATCCAGAGGGACTCAAGAGGAGGGGCTTAAGGTGAGCATTGGAACTCTCTCTTGAACTGCACTTGCCATGGCACACAGCAGCTGGACAGAGCTGCTGGGTCTGCGAGTGAGCAAAGCAAATCACCATGACACATGACTCACATCCTCTTGCACGACACACAGGACGCCGGACTTCCTGGTGTTGCTGGGGGCCTGGCAAGCCCAGCCTGCGGGGTCAGCCTGGCAAGGCTTGGTCCCATAGCAGGCTGCAGTCAGGACGGAGCCACCTTGGCCCCAGGCATCTTCCTCTTGCCCTGGCTGGGGCATAGCTGCCTTGTAGGAAGCATGGGACAGGTCCCCCACACAGCCCTGCTAAGGCCTGATGACATGGTGCTTGGACTGGCTCTCTTGCACCCATGCTTTCTCTCCCACTTCACTCCTTCCCCTTTAAGCCATCTAGGCTGGCCAGGTGCTGTCACTGCATCCCTGGCTGGGCAGCCACATGCCTTCTCTTCCTCAGTCTGGCCCTGCACCCTGGCACCTTCACCTGGTCTGGCTTTGGCTGCCCTGCACGCCGGAAGACAGTGCACGGATGAGAAGCTGTCAGCTGCATGCACTGGGCATGGGGAGGTCTGTTCCGCAGCCCAGGTCTCTGGCTGGCATCATCTGAGAGGCCATGGGAGGAGGCAGTAGCCTGGGGGCTGCTGCATGACTGACTCGCGTGGTAACAGGCAAAGCCCATGGCAGTGAATTGGTCAGTCTCTCTCATTCCAATTTACTCTCTTGCAAAGTGATGACCGCTCCTCCCACCTTGTACAGCGCAGGACGCATGCACACTATGCCCGGGCTGGGAGAGCAACACTGCATCCTGGAGTCCCCAGCGCAGCAAGCAAACGCACACAGGTGCTTGTTTCCCTCAGCCACACTCAGACACGCTTCCCTCAAACAGCCTGTCAAGTCGCGAGACTAAGGGACTAAAAAGCTAGTGCAGCACACACACTTGGCCATCAGGCTGCACATACGAAATGGACATGGAGTTACCCTGTCCTACAGGGTCTACTGCTGTGGAGGAGGTGGGAACGCTGGGTCCATTGGTGTGTAAGTGGGAAGGACAGAGGACAGCGCTGAAGCCAGCCTGTGGGAGCTCCAACGGGCAGGTGCGGGCCCTGCTTGGTCCCAGCGTTCTCCACGACATGGGAGCAGCCACAGCTGAACAGCACTGTGAGAGGTGGGGTCTTTGGGAGGTTTTGGGTTTTATTTGCAAAGAACAAGACAAGGGAAGCAGCCTGAGTGGGGCCTCCTTGGACTCGCACAGCACGCAGGGCTGCCCCGATACTGCTGAGGTTTCAGCAATATGTACCATGGCAGTTTAACATCCCACCTGCTGACAGCGCTGTGTGACAAGCTGATGTGCTCAAGTCGGCAGCCAGGGAAGGCCCCGGGGGATGAGCCACTCAGGCTCAGCTCCCGCTCATCCTGTGTGTGTGTCTGTAGTTGTGACATCCATCCATCCACCCACCATCTAGCTACGCTCTGTGGCATTACACATAATCCATTATCACCCCCACCCACTGTCCCCCAGGTGTTAGTGTTACACAGCATGAAAAGGATCATCAGGATGAGGGCAGCAAAGCTCGTGCACCAGGTGAGGCTTCTCTTCCTCAGTGAGCTGGACACAGCAGCAACAGCAAAGCGAAGAGTCAGGCCAGCAAGGGCTAGCGGCAAGCCATGCTGTTCTCGTGGGATCCATGCCCATCTTAGCATCCAGACAGGGACGCTGGCCCCAAAGCCTCCTGTGGTCACCCCTGGACTGCGCTGACCCAGCATAGCCTAGCCATACACGCCTCCATCTTCTCACCAAGCTGTTCTCTAAGTGTTGGGGACTGTGGGGTTACTGAAAAGTGAAGTGCCTTCTGGGAACCCCCGCTCCCAACAGGGTCACCAGGACAGCCCTCTCTCATTCCCACAACTCACCTGCGGTCCATGCCCCCAGGGCTGTTCCTGCCCCACAGTGGGCTGCTTGGGGGTCCCAGCTCTGGAGTTCCTGCCACGTCCTGGTCACTGCTATCTTCCTGGTCAGTGGCCCACTTGTCTTTGGACTTGAGGCTGTCGTGCTGTGAGTCGAGGGAGATGACATCGGAGGGGGAGCTCAGCACCCCCGAGTCCTCTGTTGTGTCCTCCGAGGCGAAGCAGCTGCCCACAGACACTGTCTCCTCAGCTCCATCCACGCCGCCCTGCCTGCCAGGGCCCAGGGACAGGCTCACTGGAGGAGACACACAGGGCAAGGTCAGTCGAGTGGTGCCAACATCCCAGGCCTCCCAAGGCATAGTGACCCTGGGTTGAACTGGGATTGTTTTAAGTTCAGTTCTTTTAAACAATATTAGGAACCTCTGATGTTTTGAGGACTGTGAGCCTGGAGATGGGCCTGATGCTTCATGGGCATCCCTCCCTGTTGTGTTGCTCACGCTTAGCATGCACGTGTGGGGCAGCAAATCCCACTGAAGGAAGGGGCGCCCGCAGACACATGGCATGCAGGCAGTGTGAGCCCGTCATGTTGCTCTGACCAGGCCAGGGCTCTGAACTCTTCAAGGCTCCATAAGCTGGAGTTTCTAGGTTGATGGCAAGCAGACCGGGGGTCTCTACGGGAACACACAGGTTATAATCAGGAGAATGCTTCCAGACATGGTCTACATGCTGGGCATGACAAGGCAGCAGATGAGGAACCCGGCACTGCAGCTCCAGCATGTCCTAAGGTTATCCCTTTGCCAGCAGTCACTGGGCACCTTTCTTGAAGGGAGCCCCTGGACACAAGGGCAGATAGCATTACCCTCATACGTGGCATCACTCACACTGTCACCAGACAGCTGAGAACACGGAGCACAGAGACCACACAAAATCCCTCCAGACCCCAACAGTAAGATGAAGAACAAGACTGACAAACATACAAGGTGAAGGAGTCAGAAGGGGGGGGGCGGGGGGGGGAGAGAAAGAGAGAGAGAGAGAAAGAGGGAGACGGGGAGAGAAGGCGTGAAGGAGAGGGAGGGAGAGCAGAGGAGGGGCTGAGACCAGTGGAATGCAGTGCTCAGTTTGTCTTGGCTGAGACCTGGAAACAGGGCTGCGGGCAGACAGCCTGCGTGTGGATGACAGCCACCCCGGACACTTCCATCCTGACCTGGCTGCTGGGCTTCCTCCCCAGGCGATCTGCGGGCTGGCAGAGCTGGCGGCATGAGACGGGACTGCCTGCTGCTCCCCGCTTGCCTTTCATTAGCGCTGTTACTAACACACATCTGCTTCCCCCTGGATGTGTGGTAAAACTGCCACTTACCTCTCAGGTCACAGAGACCCTGATTCAAATCTCAGCAGAGCAGGTTAAACCAGGGGGAAGGAATGATGCCGGCTTCAGGGTTGTGGCGATGGGCACCGAGTGTGACAGCCAGGTCTTGGCTGCCAAGGGCTGGCAGGACAGGATCTGGGAACGCAGGCTTTCAGGCCACAACCCTAGGTTCTGTGGTGACTCACAGCTCAGGAGGGGACAGGCATACCAGCAGGGATGACTGCGTCAGGAGTGCTGGCTATGGGCATGTGTCCGTGGGTGCTGGGGCAAACGGAAGTGTTTGCACATAGCAGGCACCACCTAAATGTTGGGCCCAGCCTAGCAGTCAGTCGTTCCATGGGTGGGAGGCCATCCTGAACGGCTGGGCCATGCAGAGGCTAGGACTTCTTCCTCCCCTCCCCTACTCAGCTGCAACTGAATCCACATCAGCCCTTGGTGGATGGTGGTCTCCAAGGACTTCTGGCCACTTGGGGAGGAAACAGCATGCCAAGCTCTCCTGTCCCCATGACTTCTGGCTTGGCTGGCCCCAAGAACTTCACATTTGCTGTCACATCTCTGAGGTCATGGCTCAGGAGCGGTCTTTTGTCTTCACTGGTTCTAACTGGAGGCCCAAGGAGCAGCCAGGCAGCAGGAGCTGCTTTGGTTGTGCCACGACGGCCTCACCAAGAGGGTCCAGCTGCTGCATGTCTCATCTCCCACCCTCAGCACAGACCTAAGGGGTCTAAGGACCCCAGCCTGGCAGCAGCAGGAGGTCTAAGTGGAGCTTCAAATCCACATCCTGTACTGAATCTTACCCTGCTCTTCCTGACAAAGTCTATATCCCTTCTAGATGTAGAATGTCCCATTGCTAATATCACAACCCAGTATGCAGGGTGTGGGCACCCTTCTACAAAACTGCAGAGGATGGCAACCCGTTCTTCCCCATGGAATACACAACCTTTCTGGGTCATCACGGCACGGATTTTGTAAAAGTGACTAACAAATGCTCTTTATCTTCAGCAGAAACCTAACAGAAATTCGTGATTGGATCTCTTTCCAGTGGACACACACAGCCTAAGCAAAAATATAGCCCCCCATCAGCCTACCCTAAATGATGCAGTCCCCTGGTTTAAATGCCATTATATCTGCCAATGGCTCTGAAAGGCTCCAGTTCAAGTGCAAAGATTTGACCGCAGGACCACTGGCAGCTCAGGTCACACACGATCTGTGCTGTTCATTGCTGGCTCAGGCGAGCTTCTCTTTCACAAACTCACTGGCGAACACCGCACATCGGTCATTCGCATCTTCCCAGCAGAGTCCACAGCTCTGAGATGCCGTACTTGGTGCTGTGACTCCTGTGCTGACGCCACACAGGCCTGTCCTCCTTGGGGATGCCAGGCAGTGGGCGATCCAGGCCACAGCCCTCAGCTGCCAGGGTCCTGAGGGACACCCTGTACCCCACAGGGCGCTGTGTGCTGAGCCAGGAATCCTGTAGGCCAGTGGACTCAGCGCACCTCCCACTGATGGCATGAGCAGCTTACATGGCCACTCGGTATTTAACCCATCATGGGCTGAGGAAGGCCTTGGCAATGGATTCATTCTTATTGCTGCTTCATTAAATGCAAAGGAAGACCTGGTCCAGGCTGCACTGCTGTGCTGATCATTAAGGTAGCACATTTCATGAGAGCAGTCTCACTGAGCTCATAGGTCTAGAGAACACGGCTCAGAGGTAAAACGCTGTTGCAGGCGAGCAGCTGCCGAGGCTCCCACACTCCCCTCTGGTCAGCATACCAGCCTTGTCCTGCACCCGCTCCCCCAGCTGAGCTGCCTGTGACATCCAGCTGGGCTGGGTGACATTCAGTGACTTCCACACCCTCCCACAGACAGTGCTGAGCAAACACGCACCCCCTTCCCACCCCATTAGCTGATATACAAGATTGCACCTGTTTGCCCGGCAGTGTGTAGTAACATCCAAACGACTGCAGATGTTGTGTTTGAATCAGGGCGTGCCTTGTCTTTAATTAACCCCTGGATGTTACCACCCTCACTTCAATTTGCTATGCCAGCCACAATTAAACATATCAATACTTTTAAAGCAACTGCTTCATCATGTGAAAACCATCAAGCAAGGACCCTGAGTGTCACATAGTTTCATGCCTGGAAAACTTCATGTAGGAACAGTGACTGTGCAGGGTGGAGCACGTGTCTGGCTTCCCAAACCCACTCTCCTCCAGTGCTTAGAAAATCTCATCTAAACGAAATTAGCTTCATGCTTGAAATGGGGTTTTTGTAATTAAATCCTTATAAAATTTCTAAAAAGATTTGTTTTTATTGGAAAGTTGAAAATACAAAGAGGAGGCGAGACAGAGAGGAAGAGCCTGTCTGCTGATTCAATCCCCAAGAGCTCAGCCAATCAGAAGCCAGGAGTCTCCTCCATGTCTCCCATGCGGGTTCAGGTCTCAAGGCTTAGGGCCGTCCTCGAATGCCCTCCCAGGCTACAATCAGGGACCTGGATGGGAAGTGTGGCTGCTGGGATATGAACCAGTGCCCATACGGGATCCCAGCACATACAAGGTGAGGACTTTAGCCACTAGACTACCAAGCCAGGCCCATAATTAAATCTTTTATAAAGCATTTATGTTCACTAAAATTAGAAAATTCTAATTTCAATCTGAAACATTTTTAATTTCATCTTCAAATTTCAAGATTCCCTCTTACCATAGATTGTAGCATTAAATCATTTGTAGGAATACGGAGTTGTCACTGTGATCTTGAGGAGCCAACAATGTGTATGAGCTAACGGAAACCACACAAACGTTCTAGAAACTTAGTTGTCACACCAAGTGGAAAAACGTCACAGGAGGTGTGTTTTATGACGAGCCCTGGGCTGTTGTCCTCCAAACGACTGGATTACACATTCCTGCTAGAACGAGGCACGGTTTGGCTCAAACTTGGTTCCTGCTTCCCACACTTCTATGACACAAGCACAGGGAAACGACGCACACACGGAGGCGAGGAGCAGGAAGGTGTTGTGTTCTGACTGTATCCCTGAGCTTGTTGTAAGTCTCCCAGTGGTGACTTCCTGGGTCTATCCCCAGGTGACAGCTGCTGATCTGTGATGTGACCACCAACCCAGATGAGGTCTTCAGTGCTTCAGTGCTTTTGGTGGGAAAATCACTTGAGGTTCTTCAGGATTTGCTGTCCCCCCGCCCCCAGGGCCAGTGTCCCCACCTGTCCTATGTGCCGTCTTCAGGGTGAGGTCTGCCTGTTTCAGGGAAGTGAGCCCAGGACACTGCTGATGGGTGAGGAAATGCCAGTCGATGTTGGCTTCAGCGGTTTTGCATGCAGTTTAAGGAAAGTCATCAGTTTGAGAAAAGATACAAGCAAGATCAGAACATCTACTAAGCCCTGTTGTTCTCCCGGGGGAGTGCAGACCCAGTCTGGATCCCAGCAACATACTCAGAGCCCCTTAGTCCATCTGACACCCGGATCATGGGTTCTCCTGAGAAGCTCAGGGACTGGCAGGGGAGACAGGCAGCTGCTGACCGTGATCTGTGATGGGCATATCTTTGGCAGGTGGGAAAGGACAGTGAGTCAAAGATGGGCAACTGCACAGCCCACGAGGCAGCACAGGGACCAGAGGAGGCCCTGAGTAGACGAGGTACTGGTGTGCCATGTGGTACATGAGCACACATGCATCCATGGGGTGCATGAGTGGGCGCACACACATGAAGACAGGTAGGAAGGCGTGTCCTGTGTGGCATGTTTCCTGTGCACACATGCATGCAGATGTCAAGAGGGTATGCAGTCCAGGTTTTGACTCAGAGACGCAATCACAAGACACAGTCCGACTTGGCTACCCACGTCCTTTGAGCTCTGTGCCCAGCTCTTTGGGTGCAGTCGGCTTGCTCTTGCCTCCTCAGAGGCAGAGAGATTGCTGAGCACCAGGC